AACATACATCACCATAGTCGATGATTTTGAAAATTAAGGTCTGCACCAGCATCGTTTTTGTTTTCACTGGGAATAAATTTTTAAGCCGGTAAAGTCCCCTCAAAATATTCGTTATATTCTGACTGACGCTAGTTACCTGAGGTTGCAAATTTAGGGTTGGGTCTATGTGCAGACCGAGATCCTTGACTGATTGGCTAATGGGCAATACAGTTCCATCAAAAATAATATCTGCGATAGCGTCAGTATCAATTCTACCTGTCATTATAGAGACACTCCCTATAAAGATTGCCTGACATTTGGCTGGGTTCACGGTTAAACCAAATCTGATGGACTTCATCGTGTCCCGTTCAGCAGACTTCTACAGTAAAGGGATAATCTGGGGGGTCCGCGGGAGGAAGTTCGCTGCCTCTATTGTGCGGTGATACGATCAATGGCCCTCTACGGAGCGCCGATATGGGACAAGCGCTTATCGGTCTCCTCCCGCTGCCGAGCTGAGCTCAATAAAGTGCAGCGGTGATCGTACGGGGATTCCGCACCATTTCGTTGGAGGCGGCAACAGTCCTGGTACGTTTCCCGCCTTTTGATATCCTGGCGGATATGGACGCGAGGATCTATGACCAGACTCGCGCGATCCGCCGGGGCGAGAGCGGGGAAGACCAGGACGAGCTCGAAATACGGTGGAACGCTCACCGACAAGTACCGGTGCAGTGGCGCGCGCGGCTGGAGCAAACGCGGAATGCGCACCAACGCGCTGTCGGCGCCGTTCTGCCTAGCCTCGAAGGTACTTATTGGGCATGTCTGCTTCAGTGAGTACCTGAATCGGATTGGACACGAAGAGACGGTACACCAGCACTGCGCAGACGACTGGGACTACGCCCAGCACATGCTGGAAGACTGCCCCGCGTGGGCGTCTGAACGCGAAGTCCTGGTCGACCAAATCGGACGGGACCTGTCCCCGCCAGCAATTATTGCTGCCATGCTGGCTGGTGAGGAGGGCTGGGGCGTAGTGGTCTCTATCTGTGAAGCTGTAATGCACCAGAAAGAGACCGCTGAACGGGATCGGGAGAGGGCCGATCCCGAGCTTAGAGGACATTGGCGGCGATACCAGTCGTTGATGGGGCCGTAGGCTGCCAGAGGTTGTAGCCGCTTTTCTTCTCAGGCGGACTACTCACCGGCTGACCCAGTGGAGAGATTCGCAAGATTACCTCAGGGCGCCTTTTATTAAACAGAAGTGTGTGCGTGTGGGATACCTACGGGACCCCTTAGAGAAAAACAACTTACACCTCAGTCATACATACATGTATATTTCAATAAAAAAAATCAGTTACAATAAAAAATAGTAGGTATATAAAAAAAAAACCACAGCGGCGCGCGTCAGAGCCGAGCTGATGCTGCTCGGAGCCTCCTCGTCTTCAATCCAGGAGGTCACTTCCCCTTACGCCCGAGTCGGCTATTTATATAAGGTATAAAGGAAGGTTCACTAATGATATAAATAAAGTTAACGAGAAGTACGTAACCCTTGAGTACGGCTGTCCGCCTGTTTGGTGAGCCGCGTGACTGCCAGTTTGCCAGAGGGTACCAAGAAACTTGATTTCGCACCAGAAGGCCACAAATGAACAAGCACGCCGTCTGAGACTGACCGTCTTGACCCGAAATTTGACCGTCTTGACCCGATTAGCACTCATATTATCGATCAGGTTCCAGAAACAAATAAGTACAAGAAAATTATGAATATACTCACCACTTGCGTGGGTACTTCGAATAATAAAACATTACTAAAAAATTACTACATTGAAATTACCAGACAAACAAAATACTATTTAAGGTCGGAAGACAAGAATTAGCAGAGTGTCCCCCGTGGCTGAAAGCCGGACTTATATATGTTCGGTTTGTGAACTTTCCAGAAAGAATCCCTACTTTAACATTTCAAACTGTCACTCAAAATATTATCTAGGTTAACACGAACTAAATCAAAAGTAACTCGCTTCCTACCATAACAAGACACTTTTAACACCAATACACTTTGTAAGGATAAATAATTACTATGACTTACCACAAAAACAACGCCATCTAGTGGTCCGATGGCGGACGAAGAACATCAATACTATAGTTACAAACTACTTTGGATAAATCAAAAAAAAAAATGCGACGCGGGCAATAGGTGTCGCTGTTGACAACTCCGTACGCAATACAAATATACTAAAAAAATAACTGTTACAAGGTAGGGAACCTCTGGTGGCAGATTAACTGCTGCGGTAGCCGATGGGATGGCGGCCTGGTCGAAAAAATGACATACTATAACGATAGGCGATAGGCGGGGGAAGCCCGCAGCTTCCCCGGGATAGGCTTTTACTGGGCGCGGCGTCGATCCGGGGGAGACCTGAAATAACATGGTCCAGGTCCTCCTCGAAGTAGGGTGCCTAGAGTCCGGTCGTCGGGGTGGTTTTTAGTGGAAACACCACATACTCCTGGCTCCTACATCTCCAAGGAGCCAGAGATCCGAAGGGATTTTCCACCGAGTCAAAAAAAAAAGGCCCCATAACAGGGGAAAAGGTGACCGAGCTGATTGCGGCTCTTACCGCTGCATTTCTGTACTCTCAGTCTCTGGTAATGTCTTTGCTACTGTTAGGAACACCCGCGGGATCTACCTCAAAAGATTTTGCCAAAAGTTCGGCTTCCGACCCGGCCGTGGTACTTGTAAGGCCAATTTTCTCATTGCTTCAATTGCGAGAAAAAAGCAGAGAACAGAGTCGTATGATTGTCGGCAGACAACTTGAACATTGTTAGAGACTTAGTGGGAGAAAGTTTGCGCATGTACACTTGCGAGCAAAAAAATAGGACCCAAATACATATATTTATTAATGTAATTGTACAACTTTTTTTTAATATCCAAAATAAAAATTAGAGATTAAAGTAAACATTTTTTGTTAAAAATGACGATAAACTATTTTTTAGGCTGCTATGTAGGAGAAAATCGAATTTGGTTTGATAACTACATTTTCTTGATCTTAGAATTTACTCTTGAGGTAAGCAAGATATTCCTTCAATTAGCGCCAAACCAGCAGAAGCAGAAGTGGTGCTAGGCATAGATTTAGAGAAAATAGGGCTATGAATTAGAGTGATTTCATCTTCGTCATCGTCGAGCTTCGTTAATAATTTGCCTTACAGTACTGATAGATATTTTGTTTTGCCACCGCAGTCTGTTTCACAGTTTCAATATACTTCTTGCCGTCTTTTTTGAGAAACCATTACACATCGTACACCATTTTTCTGGCTTTTCTCTCCAAAACTACGTTAATTTGTTGTGACATACTGTATTTATTTTGTAAACAACACATTTTAACACAAATAAAAACTTAACAATAATAACATCGGATCAATGCACTCGAGTGTACTCGGAGGTCAATGGGCCGCGGACGCATCGGGAAAGGCGAGGGTCGACTAATCTACCAATGGCACGATCGAAACGACCCGCCGTCGTGCCCAATTCGTTTCTGCGCATTGAAGGACATTGTTCAAGATGGTTGCCGGTGACTATAATATGTATCTCTGCTTTGTTGACATTGAGAAGGCATTCGACAGTGTATCGCGAGAAGCCCTCTGGATAGTGCTGTTTTGATCAGCGATTCATTCGATTAGCAATAAAGATTTCATATTGTATTTCATTCAGTTGTACATCGTCTTATAACAATAGAGCGCAATAATTGCATCTCCACTGAAGTGGTAAATTTTATACAAACATTTTCAATTTGTCAAGGAAGGACAGGACAAATTGAAAATGTTTATATACAATTTTGTATTAATATATAATTTCACGAGATTGTGTTGTTTGAAGATGATACCGTCTCCCAAACAACACAATTATATAAACACTATTATTTAGACTCAAAGGCACACTTGCTAATTTCATAGCTGGAAACAGATATAACGATAACGATATGTAACGATAGTTTTAGCGATACAAATGATGTGCTTGGCAGCGACGTCATCTCCTCTCCTGTCGATTCTGTCATTACGTATGAGAATAAAACAAGGGAGGGAGTACGATGTAGACAGTAAATGAGGTTTGAACCAGGATTCAGAAATCAGAATAGCATGCACCTCAGTGTCAGAGAAAGCTTCAAGAAAGTCACTGTAATGGTTTGGAACACTTTGAGCATTAATATATGGCAAATGTTCAAACGGCACCTAGAGTGATGGTCGAACTTCCGTCGCAAAAAGTGACTGGTGACATCCGGGCAGGTATAGAGGACTCTAAAGTCACCGTCTTGGTTTTAGTTGATTTTTCGAATGCATTTAACACCGTCAGTCACGATATCCTTATGTCCATCCTTTCCTAACACATGATATACCGATTCGAGCTACGTTGAAAGTGGACGTGTGTATATTTAATTTTTGAATTCGCTACAAATTTACTAATTTGAATTCGTGATTGGTCTGTTCTTATAATCGCGCCTCTCGTTTTTTCTTGATCAATTCTTACGGAGAACTCCTCCCAGTGGGCGGCGGAAGCGAGATACTAAATTCAAGAAACACCCTTTTTGTCATCCCGGCCGTCACCGGTAGCTGATAAGTTATTGAGAATTGCATGATATATTGAATATATAAATACAAATTTGAAAAATTGCCAGTGAGGGGCGCGAGGATTTGAACCGGCGGTTGCCTTGACTGCAAGCGGGCGCTTGAGCCATCGTACCACCAAGTGGGTGGCGTTGTGCGGCATAATTAACAGTCCCATTCGGCGTGGATCTATTGAGGTACTACTTGCAAAGTGACATCTGTTATTTGTTGCGATAAACACTTCGACGTCGTACAGTGTGGCTCCGGCTTACGTTTAACTTACTACACTGCGTATTTGGTGCACTGAAAACACACAGATGTCGTCGAGGGGCAATACCTATGCTGGTTGTAGGAGTGCTGTTGATAGTCGAGAGTGTTTGAAATGCTGTAAATGTTGCAAATATTATGACCTTTCTTGCGCGAATATTCTTGACAAGAAAATGTATGCCGGTATGAGCAAGGAGCAGAAAGTCAAGTGGACTTGTCATGAATGTAGGAGTAAACAACCGAAGCTTGGAAACATAAATACACCAGTGCGAAATGTCAAGGAGGGCGAGGCAAACCCATCTAATTTATATGATGAAAACACTGGTTTGGATAACATTACCTTTAGAAAGAAGCAAACGGATGACTGCCAGAAGACACCTGTTTGCAGCCCGGGTTCCGCCAGCTGCGCCACGATTAATAGAGATGACGCATTTATTTCTGCTGTAAGCGATAAAGTTCTTAAAGCGCTTAAGTCCGAGCTTCCTGCAATGATTTCAACTATCTTCAATCTGAACTATCTTCAATTAAGAATGATATACTAGAGTTTCGTCAATCAGTTGACTTTTTGAGCACTTTGCATGACGAAATGAAGAACATGGTAAAAAACCTTGGTCAAGGACAATGCAATGCTATCTAAGGAAAACACCACCTTAAAAACCACAGTGGCTGAATTATCTGATCGACTGAATAATCTCGAACAACATTTACGGAAAAACAATCTGGAGATACAAGGCTTACCCGAACACCATAATGAAAATCTACCAATTCTTCTTAATCAATGCTCTAAAGTCATAGGTTACGACTTGAAGGAGGGTGATGTTGTCAAATGCACTAGAGTTGCAAAATTGAACAAGGTGAGCAAGTTTCCCCGCACTATAATCGTCAAGTTCAGTTGTGTAAGGAAGCGGGATGACTTTTATTCCGCAGTGTACAGATATAATAAATCTAACCCTACTAATAGACTTAATACTGCGTTGCTTGGAATTGCGGGTAAAAGGGTACCGGTGTACGTTTCAGAGCACCTGTCCCCGTCTAATAAATCCCTGCATGCCGCAGCGCGTAAAAAGGCGAAAGAACACGGATATAAGTTTGTTTGGGTGAAGAATGGCCGTATCTTTGTAAGAAAAGCAGTTGACACCAAGTACATATTTATCAAAAGTAAAGAGAGCCTTCGTCTTATATATTAATCTCCATTTATATTTCTTTTGAGTGGTACTAGTTATTGAACACATATTAACACAATGATGTACTTGTCAATATATTATCAAAACATCAGAGGTATGAAAAGCAAAACCATAGACATATATAATACTGTTTTAAGTAATAACTTTGACATAATTTGTCTTTGTAAGACTTCGCTTGATGAAACGATATTGTCTTCTGAATTGTTTGATGACAGGTATTGTGTGATACGTAGGGATCGAGATGCTAGGTTCCGTACTCGGTATGGTAAAAGCCACGGTGGGGGTGTACTTGTCGCATATTTAAAGAAACTACGCATTAAAGACTACTCTTAATTTGGTAGTTAAACTAGACTCTCTAATGACTCCATGATGTGGAATAAAGTAGTCTACAAGATCTTTATTGAACGGAGATTCTACTTTGGTCATGTGCCCTAAAGCGATGTATTCGGACATGAAATCTTTATACATATGATTTAAGGTAGGATTTTTACCATTCCTACGCTCTAAGGATAAAAAGGATGCTTTTGCCTTCTTAAATGAGTTTCCTAGTAATTCGGTATAAAATAGGTTTTGAACGTCATCGTTAACCGGGTCATTATTAAGAGAGTCAACTGAAACAAAATTACATTTAATAGTTTTAGAGAATGACGACACTTAGCCACCGTATGTCGGGCCAGAGATAAACCAACCAAGTTTACTTTCTGATAGAATCGGCATCTCATTACCTAATCTGATCCTACGAGCACACAGTAAGTCCCAAAAAACATCAGCACATATATATAAGATCAATGCTAGAAGGTTTATAAAAATCGGGATCTGCTAAACAAATATTAGATGGGATTTTAAAATTAGATATATCTAAAAGTCTGGAGGGCACCTTATCAGTAATCGTTTCTAGTACAAAACAATTAATTTCTGTTCTAAAATCTTGATAATGTGATTTAATTTTAAGTTTACACATCTTAGCTATGTGTGAAGAAACGTTATTAATACCACTCAAAGAAGTATGCACTCGAGTTATAGGCAAACTTAATCTTTGACACAGGGCCTCAGTCATAAGACACGACGTGCTACCGCTGTCCAAAAGTGCTCTCGCAGTTATTTCATTATCACAAAAGTCTTTTATTTTGACTAATGCGGTAGCCAGAAGTATCTCACTATTGTTACTGTGAGGGTGAGAAATGACATTAGCTGACAGCGATTTAACCATGGTGTCGTTTAGTTGTGCGCATGAGCGGTCGTGTTGACTGTTCTGATTAGTATTAGCCTTATGCAACTGTTGTTTAAAATCAGCAACATGTATCAGGGTATTGTGTTTGCGCTTGCACACACTACAACCTAGCTTCTTGCAGCGATTGGCGTAATGACCACTTCGGAAACAATTGTAACAAACTTTTAAACTAGGTAATATTTCGAGCTTATGATTAACGTCGAGAGATAAAAATTGAGGACAATTAATTAATGTGTGATTTTCAAAGCATTTTGGACATTTTGTCTGATTCAGTGAGTGTAAAGTAGTACGAGTAGTAGTATTTTGATTTGAATTATTTTGTACTGAAACTAAAGCCTTTTGTTTAGAATTAGTATTAATATTTGATTTATTCGTATTACTGGATAATTAATTAACAGTATTTCGTTTTAATTCTAACGTTTCTAATAAATCTGCTTTAGTTTTAAGAAATTTCATAAAACATTCAAATGTTAAAGATTCACTTTTATCCATACTAGCCTTCACCTCTTCCCACTCACGATAAGACCTTTGATCGATTTTATTAGATATTAAGTAGATTAATAATGTGTCCCAACTCTTAACTGGTTCTCCCAAAGATTCCAAAATACGCAAATTTTTATTTACTTGATCAATCAGAGATTTTAAACTTTGTGATGATTCTTTACTTACAACGCTTACGTTGAATGGTTCACTAACATGGTTAAAAATAAGGATTTTCTTATTATCATAGCGATCCAACAGACATTGCCACGCAACTTGATAGTTTGCTTTAGAAAATTCTATGGATTTTATTGCTACAGCTGCCGCTCCCTCCAGAGACGCTCGTAAATAATGAAATTTATTGATTTCAACAATGTCATCGTTTTCATGTATAAGGCTTATGTATAAATCCCGAAACTCTATCCAGCTATCATAAGACCCGTTGAATTTATGGTTGGTAACCTGACAGAATTGCTACATGAGCTGGCACGAGAATCTTTATCTAGTTTGTCTAAATTCTTTTCGAAATTATTTATAATTGTTTGAGATTTTGATAATGTTCTAAAATACAAAGATTCAAAGTCCGAACGTTCTTTCAAGTTTGTTTCCAAGTCACCTGAAAGCTCTAATTGTGATTGAATACCATCAAAAAGATTATATAAATCCTCTAATTTAGTAACGCGCAACTGTAGTTCCCTGACCGCAGCTTCATCCAATTCAGAAATATTAATAGCAGCCAAATAATTAGCGCATACTGTGAGACGACCTTCAACAGTACCACGTCTCTTAATAAGCTCCTTCTCATCGGCCATGTTAGGAAACAGGTGTGTAAGTCAACCTGGAAATGATACAAGTATAAATTTAAATAAATTACAGACTAAACAAATCTATAACACTTTGTATGATAGGTAAATTCCTTTGAAATAGGAAAATTATTGATATAGGTATTTATTTATGCTATCCAAGCTCAACAAAATCACAATAACAATAAACCATCACTTATTACACTGCAAATTTAGCAGTTCTTGGTTGTATCAATAACTATATAACAGTAAAATAGCTATAACGTAACAACCATTCAAATTAATACCCATCTAACATAAATTAACTAACTACCTACTTGTACGTAGTTAAAAGCAAAAGTGAAAAACCTTTTATATAAAAATATTGTTCTAAAATGAATGCTAATAAATCTATGATATACTCGTAATAACATGTATTATCTAAGTATGTCTAAGTAGTTTTTATTCAATATAGTATAATTTTGTATCTCAAAACCTAATGAATTTTTACACAAATGACGTCATAGAAAACAAAGTCGACGAATTCAATTATTTTAATCACAAAAATACAGATATTAACATCCCTACCATTACTTTTGTTCAGCTTATTAGATTTATTTAACCTAAAATGCACTTTTTTACTAAAAATACACAGGGTCATTAACTAACAACAATTTAGTTATGGTTTGTTAAAACAGGTAGGTCACAGTCGTCAGCCGGCAAGATCGCGATAATATAACGCTAAGCGTAAACAACTACAAGTACAAGTACATAACTAATCTTAACCGAGTTTATTTGACAGTTTTAAATATTAATTATTAACAATAATTAATAAATGATTAGTTTGTTATGAAATAATGACTTATTTAAACAAAAATGTTAATAACTTATAAGTTTTGCCTGCTAACTACAATTAAAACATTGTAGGTACTTATAAGTTGTAATGTGTAAAAACTATGTAAGTTATAACTTTAACAACGAATTAACTATGAAATAATGATAAATACAACCTGTAATGAGTGCTGAGTGACGAATTGTAACAAACAAAAGGGACTTATTACAGAAATAGATGTCCAGGTCACAATATCTCACTGACAACACCCTTGCACATCCATGAAGTGAACACAATTTGTAGTTAATGTATTTCTTCTTGATTAAGTTTAAAACTCCAGAAATTCCTTTATATCCTGTAGTTCTAAATCCGGTTCGATATGGACCATGAATAGGAGCGCGCCAGGTCGTATTTAAAAGAAAGATTTAGTTGTTTAACAGGATCGATAACTTTAATTGGTAACCGTACATAGACGAGTGACTGGAGGGCAAGGTTCCGAGCCGCGACCTCTGTCCGTTAAAACGAGATGGAATACATACCGTTTGACAGTATATAATAACGAAACGCATTGCTCTGAAACTTGCCCCTAACAATTATGTTTAACTTAAAGGTTTTCAACAATGCACAGAAACTCTTTTTAGACTTTTCATTAACTATTTTAATATGTTCGATAAATGAAAAGTTTCTTTCTAAAACGAATCCTAGGTAACACACTAAGGTTTTATTTTTTACAGTAACATTGTCAAATCTAATGCTTGGCGGTGATTTGAGGTTACCTTTTAAAAGTAGCTGGAAGGTTTTGTTGGGTGCAAAAGTTAAGCGATTACGTTCACCCCATTGAGATATCAAGTTCAAACATCTATTGGCTGATCTCTCAAGTCCCGCCCTAGTATCAGATTCCACCAGTAATAAGCCGTCATCAGCATACGCGTTCAGAATACATCCGGATGGTATTGGTATCGCAAGAAAATCGTCGAAGCCGATATTCCACAAGTATGGACCTAGCACCGATCCCTGAGGACATCCCATTGTA